TACACGCATTGTGCGTTTCTACTCGTTGGAAACGTTGACGCCAAAAAGATACTCTATTTCATTCTATTTTTTAGAGGATTTTATGCAAGACATGAAAGAGATGCTTTAGTTGTGGCAGTGATCGTTGACCAGTCAAAGTGGTGCTACTGTAGTAGCCATTTCAGTAGCAGACCTGTAGTATTACAGTACTAGGTGTAGTAGCAGCAGTGCAGTAGTAAAATTAGCATCGTAGTTTCAATCACTGTAGCTGACTATACCGTCAATCATCAGTCAATCATCAAGGTGTCATATCTCAACAAAAGATTGCAACACATTTTTTTTTCAACGATGGAATTGGAATAAATTAAATTGTAACAAATAATATAAAGAAATAATAAACCTATTTAACCGAGTCGAAATCTAAGAAAGCATGTGTTATTTCAAAATGTTGAAAAGTTATTTTAAAAACAGTACTAGAAAATTATGAGACCTATTGGTCCATTATACATATTATTCATATTTGCGAGCGATCATGTGTTGTTCTCGTGGTAATGGCTTGTAATCTATCGCTAACGTTATTCCCCTAGTGATACGTAATAAATCGAGCCAGCGATGCTAAAAATAGAACAATGCATTGATGTTGATGACGTGGGTGAGCTTATGAATAATTAATATTGATCATGACACGCGTGTATTCGGATTCGACGTATAAATTGATGTCATATTCTCGAGCCGCACTGCCCTTGTTCTATTTCAATTAATGTAATGAAAATCCGTGCCCTTATTAAAAGTAGGCTATACAATAATATATTGTATTTCCTCGTATTTAAACATACATCTTTGATAAGTGTTTATAACTGAATAAAAACACTATTTTCACCAATAGTTATATCACAAAAGTAACAATAGCCTTCGATGAAATAAAATTCACCACCAGCATTAATGATCATGGTCGTGTGGTGGTATCACCAACACATTAGCATAAATTATTTACACAACTCCATAGCTGTTGTCATAGTGTATATACCTTCGAGCGTTCATGTGTATAAACACAAAAAAATGAGCATTTAACACCGTTTCATCTCACCATCTATACGATACATATGGTTGCTCAGCATAAATAAATTATAGGCCTATAATTGAACGTACTTGTAATAGCTTTCAGAATGTGTTTTCCTGCGAAAGGTCAAATAATCTTTATTAGGCTAATATCAAGGATTTTTTATCGTAATCAAATAATGCAACATCAAGTGATGAAGAAGCGATCGTCGTCGGATTCGCCGTCAAATCAGTCACGGCCATCAGGTCGCGTCGAACTTATTTTCCCCGAAAATTAGCTAGGGTACATCCTTACACCCACACCATAGCTGAAGAACTGTTTTGTGTCCTATACTCAGGACTAAAACCCGGCGTGCACAGACGGTGAATGATGATGTCGATTTTTTCCGCTAGTGATTTGGTATACTGCATTCGTGTCTGCTTGTTTTGGATGTTTTGCCGAACTTTGGCTAATCATTTTCTTAAATACTGTATATTCTGCACTGACGTATATACTATTTTCCTGTGACATCCCAATAGATTTATGTTGAACAACCTATACAGCGTTTCGTTGCTGAGTCACAAGTAACGGATGCTATATATAGGCCTAGCAACGTTCTAGTATAAGTAGGCCCATCTAGGATAATATACTGTATGTAAGACTACATTTTGAGTAGGAGTAGTATTAGAATAGTGATAAAAGTAGCACTTTTAGAGACTATATAAGAATTTTTATTTGAAATATAATCACTCGTCTCCACAATTCATTAGGTGAAAGACTGATGAGCAGGGTGAGGTATGAGAACGTTTAGTTATTATTAACTCTACCTTATCTTGTAGGCCTATGTAGTACGAATCGACCAGAACGTTCTGGCATTAATATTAATGATCATTGGTCATACTGTATGTGTTCATGATAATGGTGATGATGACGATGAGGATGACGATAGTAAGGTTCCTTCTTTTTACAATGATTGAACCATAATGACACCAATTTTACCTTCAACGTTTCCAAAAACACAGGTTTTACTTCATCATCAATTGACTTTGATGGTGGTGGTGATGATTATGATGATGACGATGATGATAATTACAATAAGTATAACTGTCATTTTAATAAACTGCCTGGTTCCTTCGTTTTACTTGCATTATGATTGAACCGTAATAAAACACAAGTTTTTTTTTGTTTTTTTTTTTCTGAACAACGTTTCAAACGTAAGTTGTTATTGTAGCAACGAGCTTCATCTTCAATCAATCCAACACATCACGTCACGTCACGCAACACATTCTTGTCCCTATGGGAGGCAGAAATTCTGGGTAAGAATAATCGTGGTAGAGTAACAGAAACAAAAAAATCTAAGAATCTATTTTGATAAAAAGGAGGAAAGAAAAGAGAATTAACAGATATGATGGTTCTTATAAACGCTAGAACAATGATTGTATAACGAATCGTACAACAGGAGTAGGGACCTAAGCAACATCTGCGAATACGTCATCAGACTGGTGACGTCACGACAAAACGGTAACAACACAGTTGAAATGATCTTCGATTGAGTCCGACATTTACTAGGCAAACTTGATGTTTTAATTGGTTCAATATAGAAGGGGAAAACAAGTGTACAGTATGTTGTTGAATACGCTTTAGAGGCTACTGGCTGGTAAACACGAATAAAATAACATTTTTGAATAAATGTATGTGCGTTCATAACTGTTCTCGTTATATCAAGACAGTGATAAATCTGATAGTCTTTGTGCGATTAAAATTAGTGACGTCATTTCTAATAAATTAATTCTCTAATTTACAGCGTCACTGCGTGTTAACAATAGACTTGTGGTAGGTTTCGTGCAGTATATCGATCAGTGCATCAGCTATCGAATATTTGCGGACTCCAGCTACGCAGGTCGATGTGCGTATCCTAGAAAACATACCGTATTTACAAAACATGAATGAAAGATCAATTTTAATAATTTCACAGATGGTTTTGTTCTCATGTAAATACGCAAGTGCGCCATACGTCATCTCACGAAGCTTCTTTCAGTTGCATCAAGTCGATTAAAACGAATTCAGGATGGTAATGAATTACTATAGACGCGGGGTATTGGTAGTACTGTATTAGACATAATAATAATATCTAGGATACTGGTTTAGGCCTCTTTTCGGCCACTGATTATGCTATGATAATTATATATGTGTATTACGATAAACAATGTATAAAAAAATACTGCCTGTACTGGTACATACAGAGTAAAAGAACTTAATGCCAATTGAACATATTATCAATAAAACTTGTAGAGTCATGCCACTAGAATGTTTCAACTGCACGTTAGAAACATAATCGGGCGAATAAGCAATGATGCTTTAGCTCATAATTTTTCAAGGTAAACTCAGGGTAAATCCTAGTGAACGAATGAATCACATTGGAGTCAGAGTGCAAAGTGGCGTTTTAACAGATGCTCATTGACCGAGAAACCTTGCTCCGAAACCTTGACTCATAAATACCGGGAAGGTGTTGGGCAAGAGATTAACACCATCACCACATTATTACCAAATTCATGTTAGTCCTATAAACCATCAAGATGACTGCTCCCTGCTCAGATAAACTGCACTGTATGGTGTCCGGGAGGCGCGCGTCCGGGAGGGGATACTATAAGTTTCAAAACTATTATTGTTGTTCGTGGTGGTGTTTGCTGCATGTTGTTGTACACTATTGGAGTTACACAGTTGCATTTTTTGCTGTTGCTGTTGTCGTCATCATATACAGTATATATATTTTAAAATTTCATTGACCATTGTGAAACAATTTGTTGTAACATATTATGTATAGGCCTACACACTTAAAACCAAAGTCCTAGCTGGTGTCGGTTCAATACTAGGCCCCTACTAGTACCGTGTTGCTAGAAAAATCCCGGACTGGAGATGAATTATTCAGTTGCCCCGACAAAGATACAGTACTGTACATAGGCTATATATAACATGTTGATGAAAATAATAGCCTTATAGTAACTCCACATAGCCATGGCGAATAGACCTGCTACGAAGCACTCTATCTGTCATACTATGATTCGATAGAGTTGTTGAATGTGAATAGATTAAAATGGGGCTCTGCTTGTTCGAAGTTAATTGCTATTTAGCTACTGTTTGATTTAAGATGGCGCTGTGTACTACAAAAATATGGAACTTCATGCGACCGACTTTGAGCATGGTCTGAGTGTGTGTACTGACTAGGCCTATACGTCAAATCTTTGTGGATGTACCCTTGCGAATTATATGTGTTGTTCAATTAGAGAACACTCTATTACGTTATTGTCACTGTTAGCTGGGATTCTGGGAAGATTCCGGTACAGTTTCTAAGGTATTTGTTTGTGCAGGGAATAGTTACAGAATCCCAAGGACCCATCTTCTAGACTATTATACTCTTACGTAAGGCCCATCCGTCCAATTATAATGTTAAGAAAGTCTGAAGAATTCCAAAAATATTAAAATTGAACGATAAAAATATCTTTAAAAGGTTGGTCTGCACTAAAAATGGTAAGGTTCCCCTCTCGCTGTCGAGTGCGTGTTTTACTAATTTACTGATTTATATTGTACTTTTGATGTTTTATACCGTATCTGTTTAAATATAATAACCTATACACTGTTTATTCGATGTGTGAAGAGGGGCACTAACTGCGTCCTACGAATCGTACGACCGTCGCGACGGTCGTACGAATCTGCTGATTGTCGGTAGCAGTATGAAGTAAATAAAAACGATCCGTTGCGCAAGCGTCATGGCGTCGCTTTCTCCGTGGAATCGCGTCGGTCGACGACCGTCCGTGCACAGTGAGGATGCTGGGCTTTAAAGTGCAAACTTGTTTATGTTTCTTCGTACAATTCAACTTCTGTGATAGTTGCAGTAAGGATTATTTGATTTGATTTGGATTGATTTGTGTTGAAATAATTTTCTGGAGAGGAGAAACTAAAGCTTGATTTTCTTTTGTTTCAGAAAAATGTTGCTACTCAAGTACTGCGGACGTTTCGATAATGTAGGAGGCCTGGTCTGTGGAGCAATTGGCAAGATGACATTAACCAAAGAGGACTTTTTGAAAAAAAAAACAGTATTGGGAAATTTTACATTTCCTCTGAAATTTCTGTACAAGAAATTCTGTGTAAATTGAAAAGCAGACACACAGCTCGTGGAATTTTAAGTTAAATTTGAAGTGCATTGGTTGCTCTTACGATGTTCCGCAGTTCGATACAAAGGCTGACGAATTACGATCATCAGTGGACCTACCCCAACGCTGTAGGCGGGAAACCGTCGATAATTTAGCCAATGGTAATATGATAAAAGTAGACTTGTTTGATATACACCATAATATAGGTGAGTTTATATTTTCAGAACTATCGATAAAATTAATTTCTTATTTTTATCTGCACAAACATTCATTTGTGGTTAATCTGTGCGTTAATGCTTTACTTGTGACAATCGCGTAGAGGAAATGTTTGTTTTACAAAACAAATCACGTGCCCAAAGTTTCACAGGACCGCCTCCTACTTACAACAAATTAATGCAGCACAATTGTCCCATGATTACGTCATCTCTCTCATAACATCCTGCGCAGACGGAGACTCAGTGCACATCGATATAATCCCATTACATATATATATATATATATATATATATATTTTTTTTTTTTTTTTTTTTTTGCAGTTTGAGGTCTTTATTTGTTAACAGGAGTTTGTTTTTGCTGGATGCGTTCACCACTCGACCACGTCAGGAGTATGTTGTGATATAACCCTTACTATATTGTGTCTCGTGACGATTTTTTGCATACGTCACAACGTCATGGCCCGTGATGTTTAGTCCTCGCGTTCTCCCTTCCATCCCATCAGAAGCATCCGGATAACGTCAGCGCAGTTTCTGCAACATAACGCATTCATAATGGTGACTTGCTATCCGATCCATGCAATGATTTTGTGAATTAGCAGAGTGAGCCCAAGAGATGCTCGATTTGTCGAGCAGCACGGAGTGGTACGACTCGACTGGTTGTGGTACAGCTAAGGCTGATCAGCTGTAAATGTGTTGCATCGTTAAGCACCTTTTTGACGAAGGAAGAGCTCATACCGAAGGACAGTTTCCATTATATCTGTAAAAAAAAAAACAAATCGAAAAAATACATTTGAAATTCAATTTTGTTATGTAGGCCTATTAAAATGACGGTAAATAAAATTGTTCCTGTACTTTTATAGGGGTAAGTAAACACGAATAGGCCTACTAATGCCTGTACATTAGATACAATACTAATTATTAAGCCAAATAAAATACAGTAATATGTATTTTTTGTCATTTTGCAAAACATAGAATACTGTATGTATGAATCTGATATCATCGTAATAGTGACGTGCGCGTTTGAACTACGGTATGCCTTCATACCGCCATAACTTTGTGTGGTCCTGTTTACTGTTGTATGTGTATTTATGAAGAAGGAAATAAGCCTATCATTTCTCAACCCATACGAGAAACGTAATTTTTTGGAATCGGCCGAGTCCAATGGGGGAATAATTTGTAAAATTCGCTCTGGATAGAGTTTTGGGGTGAACATAATAAATAGGCCTACTTATTTTTCTTTTACAATGACATGTCGATTTGGTTTTCCGCAATTCGCACGCAAGACAGAAAAAGAAAAAATTCATGTTTTGTGCATGTACGATATTACGGTAAACTCGGGGTTATTTTTTGGTTATTGAGAGATGATCAGATGTTAGTAAAAATAACGGTACAAATGTGTAGCTGTCACCATGGTTTTTAGTAACTATTGTTCTTAAGGTCTTAGACATGTTTTCAAGATGTACTGTACATTTTTGTGTCTGTGCTTTGATAGGGGGCCTATTGAATAACTTATTATTATTTTTTTATCTGGCTGATTCTTTGTTCAGAATATTTTGTATAATATTATAAGTATATTTCTGTAACGTTTGTGTGTGTTTTTGTTTTTTTTTTCTTTTTTTTATTGAATAAAAATATTGATAATGACAGTACACCAAGCAATTATTTAAAGTGTATCCACGAGTCATTTAAACGCATATTTGAATAGTATTAAGGGATTATTACACCGGTGTAATTTTTTTGTCAGGCACTCAACCGCTTATAGCAATGCTTGGTACGATTATAAAATCATGTTATTCTTTCGATTAACGGTTATAGGTGTAGGCCTATAAATTGAAAATGAAATTGAATACGGTATCAGTATATACATAAAATTGAATCACAACAATGCTCAAATAGAACCATGTGATGTTTTAATGGTGTCAAGCATAGCCCTTCGACGAAGAGTTACTTTTAAGTTGTATGAAGAAAAAGGTCTCTGGTGGGATTCGAACCTGTAGTTTGTCTCTATCTAGGCGAGTGTCATACCGCTAGACCAACGAGACCTATTTTTGTTTAAACCATGTTTATACTGTAAAGGGTAACCCTTCCAGCGTATCCATGGAAGGTCGGCTGATATTCAGGGGCCCTCTTAAACAAATGAAATCGTGATTCTTTTATCAGCCAAGTCCCTTTATGAGGCTTAGGGAGTGGAGTTGTTTTCGGTCGTGAGAAAAAGTCTGCTGTCACGTGAATTGAACCCAGGACCCTGGGATTAGAAGACAATTATCTTAACCACTAAGTTATTCAACTCCTAAAAAAACAACCTATACGGTGTAGACGCAGATCTACCCCTCCCCTTCCCTACCACTTTAGACACGTTCTCTCGTACAAATGGCTCACTGTAACCATGGTTAAACAAACTACCTTGTATGTCGCATCTAGAAATTTTTACATTTTTGTTTATATACATATTACTTGCAATTGCAAAAAAGCCCTATATAGATGAACAAGTTTCTTTACATTCGGACTTGGCAGATTCCTTCCAATTAAGAAACCGTTCAATTGTAACCATGGTTAAACAAACTACCTTGTATGTCGCATCTAGAAATTTTTAGATTTTTGTTTATATACATATTACTTGCAATTGCCAAAAAGCCCTATATAGATGAACAAGTTTCTTTACATTCGGACTTGGCAGATTCCTTCCAATTAGAAACCGTTCAATTCATCTAGACTAGGGAACAGTGAACTATTCCCTGGTCTGACCAGAAGTTTGTTGAACTGCGGCTTATTTCGTAACACCTGTGTTACGTCATTTTGCATGTATGTAGATATGAAGTGAACACCTAAGGGACTTGGAACCGGATGTGAAAGTGAGAGTACAGTCTGCAGATTAAGCAACATTGAAGTATCATTTGTACATGGACGCTTGTAATTGTAGGAGTGCCTAAGAGAGTTCGAAATACAAGGGGAAGGGGGACAGGCGAGGTTCATGCAAACATTATTTGATCACCAGTAAAATATGATTTTGTTTTTCTTTTTCTAAATCTTTTCTTTTTCTTACAAAAATAATCTTGTTGAAAGATGAAAACTGCACTATAAATGCACGGTTGAAATCGATATTTTCTTTTGAAGTTTTTTTTAATTTTTTTAAATTTTTTTATTCAATCACTAATTAGTATAGGCTTAAGATTTAATGGGGTTGAAAAAATACCCAATTTCATGGATTTACTTCTAATTCACTTTTTCTAGTATAATATCTATTAAATATAAAAAAAGTCCTGAATTTCAAAACACCTCCCCTGACACTCGCATACCTATGTGTTTCGGAACGCGCTGAAAGTTCGAGAACTTTATTGACGTCGGCTTTAGCCAGGGTAGTTGGTATTTCTCACGTTATGCGGTTTGTGTTGAGTGCCCTATTAAACTCTATTGTATAGTGTGGAATTATGAGGATTAGCAACGTCAATAGTCGAAACATGTCGGAAGTTGATGTTATCTAGTAGCGTAGTTCCGTATGCGAAGGGTCATCAGCACTCGAGTCCTTTTACACAGTCAGTCACAGTAATGTAAACCTACCGGGAACACTGTAAAGTAAT